TATATATATATTTGCATGTGCATGGCAATAAAATTGTTAAGTAGTCAACAATAGTTTAATCAATAGTCAAAAACTATCACGAAAGAAACACATATGCACCATAGACTGTGTAAATTCTTCATTTTCACTGCAAGAGGGGTTTAAAAAAAACATAAAGTTTCGTCTTGTCAGACCACAAATTTACATTTGGCAACCCTTCCTGGTTGAGTGGCATAACATCTAAACGAACATGCAGTTGCTTTCCTCCAAACTAGACAGTCAAGCCTGCTTTATTATGTGAGCTAAATGTTCACTATAGTGTTTTTTTTTTTTTTAGTAAAACTCATCAGCTTTTCCAAACTCAATTGAAAAGCAAATCAAACTTATGTCCAAGGTTTTATGCGGCCTGTAACGACAATGCCTTTGTTCGTTGACCCCTCCTCTTTCCATCCTCTCATTATTGCCCTCAACGTTAGACCAGGAGGCTCAACTCACGTCCCCAGGAGGCTATAACGCTGTGGTTGCCATGGCTACATGGTGACACCGGGGCGTGGTAATCAAATATAGGCGACTGCTCTGGATTTCAGTTGCAAATGTGTGCTTTTTTTCCCTTCATTTGCCTGGACCGTGTCAGACCTCACGCCCACCCCAACCCCCAACTCAACCTTGTGTTCTCAGATTTTGTCTGTCACACTCCTTCTCGTTTAGTAACCTTTGCCTCCTTTCTGAAAGATTTAAGTCCGTAGAGCAGCCGGCAGGCAGTTAAGGCCCCTCAATCCATTGACAATGATGCTAATGTCAAGCAGTGCCTTGATGAGGAGAGCTCGCCTCCCTGTACCATAGCCTGTGTCATTCTGGTCACAATAGCCTTCATTGTGTTGGTCACTCCTGTGTGAATAAACAGGGTGTGTTTAATTGAGACTTTAGGGTGTGACAATGACACAGGACGAAGTCCAGACAGCACGCTGTGAAGATTGTGTGGCGGCTTGTATGTATGAATGCCTGAATGCCACTACCATGTAAAGCTCTAAGAAACATTAACCCTGTTGATATCTTATATTCAGGTGTAGGTGCCTGTTTCAGGAATATATGAACATATCTTTCCAAAATTTACAGCTCTCTTTTTTAACACTTAGGGTTTATTTGTGTTTTTTCACTTTCATTACAAAAGTGATGCAGACTACAAGTTAAGATCTGAGAAGATAAGATCTGGCTCTTGGCTATATGCAGTTGCTGTCCCACAAAAGCTGAAGAAATGAGAAATGCCGCAAAACAGTCATTTAAACTCATACACTGTGCAATGTTAAACCTTGCAAATAAAATAAGGAAAAAAATATATATGGATGAAATATATTTATTTTGTTTTATTTTATACATTTATATATTATTATTTTATAAAGCCATCCAAACTTGGTTGAACCTTGCAGCCAAAATGCACATTTTATTGTCATTTTGAATAAAAAAAAACAAAAAAAAACAAAAAAGGATTAAATAAAAATTGGGCCTGCAATGAGATTATTCACTTTTTTTGGTAAAGAATTCCACCCTCCAACATGTGATTGGGCTAGTCAACATTACAAAAGACGGTCATCAATCATCAGATTCAGTGGCGTAGATGGTAAAGCGTGTGTCATTGCCTACTCCTTTTGACGCGATCGACCTGTGTTCGAATCTGCCTTTTGGCAAACTTTTTTTCTCCCTTTTCAAATTTCAAATCACATCAGAAAAGCATTTATTTTTAATAAAAATGAAGGAAATAATCAAAAAGTTGAAAATAAAGTATCGGGTAGTAAGGTTGTGACGGTGAGGAAATTTTACCACCGGTTAATCGACGTGTGACAACACCGATAATACCGGTATCACCGTGGGGGCAGGGGCGGTCCCTCTTTTCTTCGCTTTCCTTCACTTTTAAATAGCTTGTAAAAGCGGCGTGCACATTATACTTTCACTTTCAAATACCAGCAATTCGGCGTAAAGCAATTGTTCTTTTAGTTTGTTTGAATTTCCCTCTTTTCCTCGCTTTCCTTCGCTTTTAAATAGAATTAGCGGCAATTCGGCAATAAGAAAGCAGGCACGGCATACACCTTGATGTCATACAAAATAAATAAATTACACAAAGTTTAAATAAAGTAAAAATCAGCAAACACTGTGGAACCAATTAAATAAGAAACGAATGTTTAAAAAAAAACTTCCAAAATCACCTTAGATAATCGGCAAAAGTCAACAGGCTTTTCAAAATCCAAAATACTGCCAAACAGGCCCTTTTGCATTTCGTTTCGAAACTAAATCATCCGCCATCGTCTTGTCTGTCTCACCTCACCTCACTCTTCTTGTCAGTCAGCTCGACTCACTCTCCTCACTGGATAAATGAAATCTGATCTGTGATGCGACTGTCGTTCGGCACACTGCATTGAGCGTACGCGTTCAGTTTTTAATTGTAGTGTCTGTTCTTTTAATGAACTAAATGATTTTTATTACTATATCTATATAGTACTATATAATCAAAACGATGGTGGGGGTTGGTGCCGAGGTGGGCAAGTGACATAACCGGTGTTGCGGCATTACAACGGTATCACCGTCAGCACCATCTATGCAAGCCTATCGGGTAGGGTTAGGGTAGTTGTAGGGATGGTTTTGTCCCAATAAGGTGGCGTCCATTTAATAATTTGAATTATAATTAAAATTTACACTCAGTAAGTTATTATTGCATACTGTTTTATAATGTATTACAATGCCGAGGTGCAGATAATTGCCACTATTTGCAACAAGTAATTAGCAGAATATCCTGATATTTTAACATAGTATAAATAGAATCTATAGCTATTTGCACTTAGTGTAAATGGCATATATCACTAAAAAATACTGCTATTTTCACTTATTGTAAGTAGCATCTATTGCTATTTGCACTACATGTAAATAGCCTCTATCACCCGCACCCCCATGCGTACAGCACCCCCAACCTATCTTCCCGCGCCCCTGATTTGATCCGCGGATTGATTGCGAAATTTAATCGTAATAGAGTGAAAGTGTATCAATTGTTTATCAAAAGCGATTTTAAACCATTCTAACGAAAGAGAAGGCGGAATGGAACTTGATTCCTTACTCCCGCGCTGTTTTCTATCACAGCCGCACAAACATGAAGCTCGCACATGCAGAGAGGCGTGTTTGACTGCGCGCGAACACCGAACTGAACCATCTTTCCTATCTCATTCACTCCTTGCCTTTGAACAGACACATATACACATAAAATTATGACAAAATACCGATCTCGACAATCATTGTGGCAAATGTGTTGTGTCTTAAGTGAACGAAGACAGCTGAGAAAGAAATCGGATGTGTATTAGTCTATATTGGATCCGTGCATCAGGTCTTAAAGGGGCAGCAGCCTAATAATACCTGCTGCTGTCATTATGCTCATCAAACCACAAAACACGTTTTTGACAAAGATGAATCTATTTTTTTGTAGTCCCTACGAGCCGTTTTTGTAGGCATTAAACTGCCAGAATTATAAAAGACGATACCTCCGTTTGCATAGAACTTTCAGTGCCGTAACTTTGCAGATATTGTTTATGCTCAAACAGCAACATTACACACTAACTAACGTTAAAAAAGTGAAATCGCAATCAACCACCCCTTTAAGTAAACAAGTTTTACATGAAGTTGTCAAGAAGTTAACAAATAGGAAGCATTTTTGAAATTTAGGAATGCATTTGTTCATAAAATTTGCATGTTTTAATGGACTTTGACTACATTGATCAGGAAATTGAAAACAATTTTCTGAATTAAGTTTTGAAATGTTTAATATTTAAAATGGAAGGTGATATGAAATAAACTCAGGCACTGTTCATGGGGTGTCTTTACCGCTGTGGATTACAGCTTTCAAGCTTGCAGCATATGAACGTGTTTAAGAAGCTTTAGCTTTGAAACGTGATTCAGAATTGTGGAGAAAACTAGTCCCAAACTAACTAACAACAACAGGCTCTTTGTACTGTATGATTTGTTTTAAAATTTCTTAGAGCTCATTGTGACTGGAAGTAAATTCATTAGTTTCTGTCACATTTCTCCGTGACATCAAGGAGAATACCTGATTTTTGGATTATACAGAGAAAAGAAAAAAAGCAGTTAATCTCCTGCTGTTTTCTAATAGGGTTAGGTGACCTTCCTGCTGGGCGTTTAGATCAGCTCTCACAAAGCAATGGAGATGCACTGGGAGCACTTGAGTCATGATTGATACTTGACAGACCAATACCAACCGCTACAGGAATCAGAACGGAAAACTGCTTGGTTTTCAGGAGAAACCTCCAATTCAAACGGCTGTTTAAGCATGCTTAAACACGTAGAAGACCCCTTGATCTCCATCTCCAACTGTTTTATTACAGATGCACATGCTCTTCCCAGTGCTCTGTTCTGCAAACATCAGCAGTTCAATACTGATAAATCCTCCTTCAAATTTTGATGGAAATTAGTTTGTGAATAGCGGGGATGAAAGAGGAAAAACAGGTTGTTCTTTATAAAATCCTTTAGATCTTTTCACTCTCAGTTTTTGAGGAAAATATGGTGCTTGCAAAAGGTGCTACACAATGCTTTAATGCAAAGGTGCCCATAAAATCAAAACTTGATTAAGGGATGTGGGCCGAAAATAAACTTTACTTTTTTATGTTTTAAAACATTCTATCCAATTATATTATATAAAAAATTTTATTTAAAAAAAAAAAAGAATTTCATGTATATTGTCTACATTTCAATGCCACTGGGCCACTTTTGGGCTGTGGGCCCTAGTTTGGTCTTCTCTGCTTTAGTGTATTATAGGACGTTGCTGTGCATTTGCTACGGTGTCCTCAGTGTTTTTTTAGTGTGTTGCTATGCAGTTGCTAGGGTGTTCAAAGTGATTTTTAAAGGCCTGAGTGCGTATTTCAATGCATGTTTATGGGATTTTTTATGTGTGGCATGGCCCGATTCGAGGCTTGTCACAAACGATTTTTTGTCTAAAAAATCCTCTATTGTGTGGTGTCATTACGATTATTTAACAGCTCCTGATCGAGACAGAGCGTCCCCAAACTCAAATCGTAAATATCAAACATGTTTGAAATCGTTCCTATAATCAACAAGTGTGTGGTCTCGCAGTCTGGTCGAATCATCTAGTGTACACGTTCAGAGGATTATAAGGCTAAAAATCAGTTGAAACTCTCTTTATGTCTGTGGTAGGGATGTATCGATTACCGGTTTGACGATAAATCATGATAAAATTCCCCACGGTTAGTATTACCGTTTCATCTTTTAATTATCATTAAAACCATATTAGATTACCGCGATTTGAACAACTCGCGATAAATAAATACTGTCCAGCATGTGCGCACAGCATGCAGAGTAGTTTCGTTTTGAGTGAAAACAGGGCGGAAAAGCTGGGAGGTTTTAAAAGAGTGCTAAGGGAATTATACAAATGAATAGGGCTGGGCAAAAAAATTTATTTTTTGATTAATCGTTTTTTAAAATGAAATCGATTCTCAAAAGCCGCGAATCGATCTTTTCCGGGATTTATTTCAGCACATTTAAAACAAGATCTGATTAACGTGAATCTTATCATTAGTCTTCTCCACTAGATGTCACCCTTATTTACCTTGCGCGATGTTACACCCGAAAGCCTGTCATTCATTCAGCGCTTATCATGGCCATACGCATGATTCGCAATGCTTTAACTACGTCTTATTCGAACATAAACATAAACGAGCAAAAATGCTTTAAATAATAATTTCTAAACATTAAACATTGACTGTCAGTCTTTATTCACCTGTTTCTCGTTGTTTCTCATTAAAATTAATTAATGAACAGATTGAAGATTAAAATAATAGCATATTTGTCTCATTTTAAATGAATAATAAAAACCTTTACTATGGTAAAATAAATAAAAAACCCATATCGGTCGGGCTCTAGTTACATCCCTAGTCTGTGATCTCCCATGGTTTTAAAATCGGTTAAGATTAGGTGTGTCCCAGGCCTAATGAGTGCCGCCATGAGTGCAGGGATCAGGTCTCTCCGCCTGGAGCAGGATGGGAAGCAGACAGCACTAAATGTCCTATGAAAGACGTACTGCTGTTTAGACTTGTGCCGGTATTCGGTAATGCGATACATCACGGTAATGAATATGCACGATATTGTTATCCCTACTGCTGTTGTACCACATGAAGAAAGACATCCAAAGAGGATACCATTGGAAAACAAAATGGCATGTGGATGCACTACAGGAGCATAAAAATGTGGACAAGGGTAACAGATGGTTTGATTCCAGGGCTGCACAATATTGGAAAAAGCTTGCATTGCGATTTCTTTTTTTTTTTCTTCTTACTATTGTTCAAACCATAAATACAAAAATAAAAATTGTCATTATCATTAAACAAAATATTTAACAAAAGAATAAATATATATCAGTAATACTGTTGTATTGTAAAATAAAAAAATAAAGTATTTGATTAAAACTTTAATTATAACTGTAAAATTGCAATACTAATATTTGTTAATTTCTTCATTTTCAATCCTTAAACCATTGAGCTTTTATTTTTGTGGATTACCAGCAAATACATAAATGCGCTGCTGGTTTCAGAGTAAAGCGCGGTACTGTGTTCTTGTGCACACTGAGACACCGTATCTCTGAAATCACAGTGGATATATTTTTATATTTAATTTTTTTTTTTTTACACAGTAAGCCATATCAGGATAATGATAATATCATGCAGCCCTAATTCCAGCTAAATTATCATTTACTCACCCTCAAACAAATATGACTTTCGTACTTTTATGGAACACTGTAAAAGTGAATGGTGAACACAAATGTAAAGCATTTTCAGGGAATAATGGCTTAAATTTTGATCTATTCCTCACACAAGGCTATCGTATGGCTATATTATGAAATATAGCTCAGCATTCATAATGACTGCTTTTCATGCAGCTTTTTTTTCCTTTTTGGATGGCCTTTGGTTTCCAGTCTGTTTTCATTGTATGGAAAAGAGCAGCATGAATATTCTTCAAAGCATCTCCTTTTGCGATTTACAGATAAAAGAAAGTCATACGGGTTTGGAATGACACAGACATTGGTAAATGATGACATAACTGTCATTTTGGAGTGAGCTATCCCTTTAACTTTATGGAAAAGCTGTTTTTTGTTGACACCTTTTATTACAGTACTCGTGTGAAGAGGAATATGTTTATTTGTGTCTGGGGTGTTTTGAATGGCCTGAAAGAGGAAGTGGAACCCCCTCCTTGTGCCCTCCACTCTATTCTCCAGAGTGGGAGAGAGAATGATTCAGAGCAGCACTTTATGTGATTATTTATTTATTGATGTGCTGTATGGTTTCCATGGCAGTGGGTATAATAGTGGGCAGAGAAACATTCACTCTCCTAGGCACTCAGCCCTCTTTTACTTGAGCTGATGATTTATTTATAAATATTCGGTGTGCTTTCCATTAAAGCCGGTCACTTAGTCTGTGGCAGGTAGATTTCTGATTGATCTCTGTGAGTTTCTTCAAGCTGTATGGAGCCACCATCACTTATCCTCTTCATCCTTGTCTGTCTTATTACATGGAGCTGATAACAGATTGCACGTCTTCAGTGATTGTCTAAGAACCCTAGAGTACACACTTTAGTTGTTCTGGTGTGGTATCATCTTGAAGATGAGGCTCATGGTTCTCTCAGACACTTCAGTAGACATCTAAGAGGCCCTGCCCTTAACTCTGTCCTAAAGGGCCTCTTAATTCCCTCAAGAGAAATAGTGCAGGCACTGAGATTACAATGTTTTAGTGCTAAAAGAAATTGGAAAAACTAAGACATGTACATGTATTACTACAACCGGTTTAATTTATCACCTGAAAACATGCCATTCTAAACAGCATTAAGAGATCTATTACCCAAATTGAATTTAGAAACATTATTTTCATTTTTGGCTAAATGAAAACTGAAAAATGTCAGTTTCTGTAAATAAATATACCCACATTTATTTGTGATTGACAGTTGTAGTAACCAGTGCACACTTTCTGTTTGTTCTCTCCTATACCCTTCACTTCTACAGACCCTCCTGGTTTGATGGGTCCGATAATCGGGATGTCTCCAGATAAGAAAGCCGAATCTCCTGGAGCGCAGGTTGTGTGTGGAGCTGGGACTCTTCCTGAAGCAGAGAGTGCTTCCAGTCCCATGGCTACCAGTCTGGACCAGATTGGTCGGGCTGGAGCATTGAGCGTGGTTGCGGGTGAGTCTGAAGATGATGAACTAACCAACTTGAACTGGCTTCATGAGAACTTGCTGCAGAACTTCACGCTCGGAGGCGAGGCGCAACCCATCAAAAGCCCGCTGTTTGACATTGAGGGAGGCGGTGGGTCGCCACACAGCAACACCACCTCGTCCACCTCCTCTGTCTCTGCGGGAAGCGAGAGAGATCCTTACAAGTCAAAGCCTCCCTTCTCTTTCTCCTTACTGATATACATGGCTATCGAGCAGTCCCCCAGCAAATCTCTCCCAGTGAAGGACATCTACGGCTGGATCCTCAAACATTTTCCGTATTTCTCTAGTGCCCCTACTGGCTGGAAGAACTCAGTGCGCCACAACCTGTCCCTCAACAAGTGCTTCCGCAAAGTAGAGCGAAGCATAGGAAAGGTAAGAATGCAAGCAAAATGGACATTCTCATGTCCATGACATTCAGCCGGTCATTAACATATAATAAATGCAGACAGGGAATGGATGCACTATATGTATCAAGTAGGGATGCACAATATATCCATAATTGTAATTGTAATACAGAACCATAATGGTTGTCAGTATTACAATATTATATTCTTTTTTTTTTTTTTCTCTCTGGTCATTATTGCATATTTAATTGTGGACCAGAGGTCTTATTGTTAACTAAATGTAAAAGTATTAAAAATTGTTTTCATTAATTGAAATTAAGTTAAAAAAATTAAATAAATATTAGAAGAAAAACTTTAAAAACTTAAAAGGTAGAAATGTTCTCTTGGCAACTGAAATAGAATAAGTTAAAATTCATGTACTAAAATTGCTAAAACTGAATTAATGCTAAATAGAAATATTAAAAAAAAGCTAATAAAAACAACAAAAGCATATAACAAAATTACTAAAACTAAAATGAAAACAAATATATAAATTCAAAATATTAATTAATATCATAATTGTATATAAATAATAAAATAACACCGTTGTAGACACTGATTTCAGCCTTTTTTTTAATTAATATTTTGGTGCTTTTGCTTTTTGTTAAATGTATCAAAAATCTTTAGCAAACGTATATCCATATTTTATAATGCTCTAATGCCTTCACTAGTAGCATTTGAATTGATTAATTTGAGTTTTTAGTGTTTTAATTTTTAATATATTAGACAAAATATATTTTAAGAGTATTTTAATATTAGCAATTTATTGATTATCGGCCATAATCAATAAATGACATAAAATAATTTTCGGCATGCCAGTATCAGCCAGAAGTTTTAAAATTGGTGCATCACTATTATGAAGGGGTTTATTTTGCAGTAATGACTTACTGTACATTATCTCCAAAATAATTAAATAAATTATTTTTATTATGTGTGACTATAGGGTTGGGCCGATAGACGATGCCATCGTCCATCGCCGATGGCTGATAGACATCACGATGTTGAGCCGACACCGGACGCGACAGTGTTTACAGCAAAACATGTTTACAGCCTGGTTCAAAAAAATATTTTGGTCTATATAGCTAATTTTGCCCTTCATTACAACTGTGAGGGGGGTGAATTTTTTTATAATTCATCCGTTTAAATTATATTAAGCCTTAAAGTTCTGCATAATTAAAGGCGTGTCCACTTGAGTGACAGGTGGATTGCAGCTGCTGACCCTGCCGTCGAGCTAGGTGGGCATGGCTTCAGCAAGCAGCTCCCGCCTTTTTGCCCATTTTTGATTATCTAGGAGTGACGCGCTGCCAAGATGGCGACGGCCCGCTCCACCCACTTTGAGCCATAAAAACGCTCTTCAGAAAACTACGGGTGATGTCACGGACACTACGTCCATGTTTTTATACAGTCTATGCAAGAGACATGAAACTAGCACAGTGAGACTGGTTGCCAGGGACAATACTCAAATGCAGTTTGATGGCCATTGCAGAAAAAAATATTTGACCTCAGAATGCTGCGACTGACCATTCAGAATCAAGTATTCCAGAGAGCCTTGTAATAAATTAGAATACCATATTTTTCTGAAGAGCAGTTCACACAACATTGCTGCAGAGCACTCGCTCAGACGTTTAACTAACTGGGTCAGTGTATAAAGTAGTGCACAGCTGACTGCAGTGTGCTAACAGGGTTGTCAAGAGGGATAATGGTTTAGGGTTTTTAGAAAAACCGATGTGTTCAAAGCAGGGCACGCAGCCAGTTAAATGAAGTGAGGCAGATGTTTTCATTTCTTATACGTGAACTGTAGATGGCAAAATGATTTATGAAACGATGAGGATGGTATGTTTCATTAACGTGTGACATTGTGTGAATCTGTGGGTTTCATATGTCTCAGCCCTGGTGTCTGTTGCCATGGCAATGTTTCCTCTTTCCTGTTTATGAACACTGCTAGTGAAGCAAGTCAAGGTCATATTCCCCCTGCAGGACCACACCTCAGACAAAGGGTGATGAGTCCTTTATTCACACACACAAATACCCCCATGCAAACACAATAGGAGCCGCCGTTCCACATGCTTCCCATGTGGTCATTATAGCTTCATGATGGTTTAAAATGATCATTTGCAGCTAATTTATGATGTGCTTATGAATGCACAGTGTACATACAGAGAGACAGATGGTTCTGTTGTCATTTAACCTGAGCTTTCTCCTCACCCCAGCATGCTGATATCATGCTTGCTTTTTGCGGTTCTGACTCCACCCCTCTCTGTCCCTTCTAGACCAATGGGAAAGGCTCTCTGTGGTGTGTTCACCCCGAGTTCCGGCCCATGCTGATGCGAGCCCTGAAGAAACAGCACTTCCCGAATGCACATGCCTTCTGCACTCCCCCTGCTTCCCCTCCTAGGTAACAACACTGGCCTGATTATATGACAAATGGATAATTCGGACATTTATCCAGGCTTCAGTCTTCTTACTAGGATAGTAACATACTGCTTGCTAGGATTTCAGAGATTTACTCCATGAACTGTCACAACTGTCAGACAAGCACTTCCAGTGTAGACAGCTTTGTTGAATATAATGGGAGTGATTTAGTTTTGATGTGTCATGATGCTTTGCTTATGTTTAATGTGGGTTGTTTACCAAAAATGGTGCAGCTTGTTGCGTAGATATTAAATTTATATTCAGCTGCGGGCACAGGTGTGTGTATATTAGTTGTTCTAAATGTTGTTTTTCCCATGTATTTATAATATAGTAGTGTGAATCTTTAAGCTGACTGTGAATCAGTTGGCTTTTGATTCAAACTTTTTTGCAGATTCAGAACAATTTGATTTAAATTAATTAACACAATTTTTAAAGTGCATTTTTAAAGAAAAATATGAAAGACACAGTACGTCAGACAGGTTTTTAAAAAACTTTTATGTTAATGCACTTTATTTGCTATTAATTTTTCCTCAAACTCCTAATTTGCTGCTTATTAATAGATAGTAAGGTAGTTGTTAAGTTTAGGTATTGGGTAGGGATCTAAAATATAGTCCTGCAGAATAAGGCATTAATATGTGCTTTTTAAGTACAAATAAACAACCAATATGCTAGCAATATGCATGCTAATAAGCAACTAGTTAATAGTGAAAATTGGTCCTTAAAATAATGCGTTACTATTTATTTAATATTTATTTTAAATATGGTACACAAATTTTAGCATATTAATTATTAGACAACACAAGCGATTCATGAGATCGCAGAGTTGGATCATCACGATTTTTACCATCAAGAAAATGAAATCCTTACAGCACATTATAATATTTTACTGTTTTGAGTCTTAAATTAAATAAATAACATATATTTCTCTGGATTATCCAAAAATAAGTATTGGCTAGTGGTTATGTAATATAAAAATATATAATATAATGGTTATAAATATAATGGTTATAATATATAAACTGTATGTATATATATATATATATATATATATATATATATATATATATACACAGAGGGGAAAATTATTATTTGGACCTTGCGGGCACTGCATGATTTCAACTCATTGCAACGTAGTTTGTTACCAATGGTTTGCTTGGCGACTGTTGTCCCAACTGCCTTAAGATCATTAACAAGCTCCTCCTGTGTAGTTCGGGGCTGATCCCTCACCTTTATCATGACCATCCTTTCCTCATAAGGCGAGATCTTGCATGGAGCACCAGACAGAGGGCTATTGGAGGGCTGTATGGTTATTTTGTATTTCTTACGTTTCCGAATATTCACACCAACAGTTGTCTCCTTCTCAAAAAGCTTCTTGCTGTTGGTCTTGTAGCCCATTCCAGCCTTGTGCAAGTCCACAATCTTGTCTCTGACGTCCTTTGACAGCTCTTTGGTCAATACTTTCCGTACCCACTGTATATAAACAGATTTGTTAAATATCTTCTCATTCTTTCTCTGTCTTCTGTAGTGCCTCGTCTCCTCCTCATCATCTTTTCACATCAGAGCAGGGCTGTGCCCTAAAAGGTTAGTAGACTTCATCAGGCCCGTTCGGAAAATCTATGACCCGGTCACATCTTTTTCACACCATTATCAGACGTATGATCACACATTGAAGCCTATCACTCATCTCAACTCATTTTGTTCCTCTCAGCACATACTTGGTGCTTCTAAACTGTGCACATAGATGCCATCTCTTTCCTGTATTTGGTAACCTTGACAACAAAGGCACTGGTACTTTGAAATTAGAGAGACTTTTTCGCTCCTGGGTGAAAGTGACTCATTCACTTAAACACACACGCATACACATCACATAGTCAATATTTGTTTGCATCAAACATTTCTTTCTCTTTACAGAATGTGATTTTGATGCTGCCACTGCCATGATGCTGTTAAAGTCTGCCTCTGAGCAGAACATTAACTCATGTAAGAAAACACCATCACATACACCAACACCTCATTTTTGTCCTATTTTGTTTGTCCCTTCTTTTTATTCATGTTTTACATCAGGTTTATTTTAATCAAGATATGCATCTAGGTACTTGTTCACATAATCACAGCAATCACATGTGTATGTGTATATTGGCTGTTCTGTTTATTGGCTTCAAACAGGGATCATCCAATTAAAAATAGGGTTAGAACAATCTATTTATAATGTTACATTTGTATTTCAAATGAAGTTTGTTCTTTTAAATGTTGTTTTATTCATCAAAGAATCTTAGAAAAACTGTTTTCAACATTGGTAATAATAAAAAATGTTTCTTTAGCACCAAATCTGCATATTAGAATAATTTCATGTGAAAAAGACTGACGTAATGGCTGCTGAAAAGTATTCTGTTGTTGATCAAACAAATGCATCCTTGATGAGCATAAGCATTGACGTCTGAAGTTCAGTCAAATAAATATATGTATGTGTGTGTGTGTGTATAATGATATCTTTTGGTTTGCGTCTATCAAGTTCCAAATAATATAACAAACTAAGAATTTAGTTAATTCAAATAAAAAAACATAATACAATTTGTTTAATAATCAAATTAAATGAGAAATTAAATACTTTTCATGGATTATCCACAAATATTAATGATATAAGCACATTTTTAATTCAATTTCCATTTAAAACAAATTTTATTTCAATGAAAATAACTGAATATTATTATATTTATATAAATGTAAACACAATAATTTTAGCATGTGTACCTACTATTGTGCTACTGCGTAAATTACTTATTCCGCATCGTACAAGTTTGTTCATACTGTTATTCATAATATTGTCTCTGATCATCAGTTATCACTCTGCTTATGATTTCTCAGACCCAGATGACCAAGAAGGACCCATAGATCTCTCCCGAAGGGACTCTGTGGTTGTGAGTCGGGATCCAAAGCAGGATCACAACTACAGTAGCTCCCCTGTCCCGCCCTGCCCTCGCCAGATGCCTCTTTCACAGCCGGTCAACTTCAGCCTGGCTCTGCACCGTGATCAGGAGAGAGAAGGCCGGGCCCGATGGCCACGCAGCCCACTGCAGGGTCCGCTTTTAGGGAAGAGGAGCAGAAGAGTTTCTCGGCCAGAAGTGGATGAGGAGCTCAAGGAGGCGGCCGGCTCGCTCCTACACCTGGCCGGTATTCGCACAAGTTTAGTCGCCTCAAGACGCAAGAGCAGGAAACTCAGTAGGAAATGACCCTGATTCTGTAACTCCGTCCTGTGGCCTGTCCAACCTCTCTCTTCTGGTTTGGTGTATCTTCCTTCTTGTTTGTAATTGTTGGGATGATTTTCTTTCCTTTCGTCTTTTTAACTGGGATATCGTTCCGGTCCACTCATCAAACATGGCAATACAAACACAGGAGAGAAAAGCCATACTGACATGTTTTATGTACAGAAAAAGAAACCGATTTGAATGAATGGCCCACATCATTTGAGTTTTACAGTAAGAGAGTTTGAAGATGTTAATCGTAAAAACAAAAAAGAGAGAGACGCTGGTAAAAAAAAAAAAAAACTTCAAGATTTGCATGCTTCCACCTCTAAATCAAACTTATTTATATGGAAAATGAATGCATGGATTTTACAAGCTCCCAAGACCTATCATGCATCTTAACTATAGAGGGAAAAACAGCTTAAAAAAGTGAAATTTGAAAGTGCCATTGATTTTGGATCATAATATAAACTTGATACAAAAGAAGAAATGCAATAATTAGTTGACCTAAATACCTGTAGTTATTTTATTTTTGTACTGCTGGTTTATATCTCGTGTGGTGGTGACGGCATGCCCCTGGGAGCCTTTTGCTGCCGCAGTTATGATGTCAAAACCATGTGGCTCCTCCCGTGCGTCCTGATTGGATCAGTTTTGCATCCCCATCCTGACCACTATGACTGGAGAACAGCTTGAAGGATACAGCTTTTGTTGCATGCACATCAGCCTCAATGTTTCTCAGATGCTAGCAATCTGTATAATCAGGTGTTGTGCTATTCCATGTGCACTGACTTGATTAAATCATTGCCCATGCACATATTGCTTGCTTTTGGAGCATACTAAATAGCGGCCAATCAAAACAAGAACCTCTTTACCTCTACTGTAAGATTTGAACCACTCTCTCCCCGTCCTGCTCTATGACTTTTTGGGTCACTTCTACCCAAATCAGGTCTTTTCCATCTTTTTCTTGATTTAAACTGTGTGACAAAGCCTCCAGCAGGGGGAGCTCTGTGAATCGTCACTTTCCATTGCTGCTTTTGAACTGGCGCTGTGCTGCTCCAGACCTCCAGAGAGTTCCCAGGGCTTCAGATGAAACCAGAGACAATGTGAACTGCACAGTAAACGCGCCTGCAAGTAGAGACAAAGACATTCTCCCATCTTTTAAGCTTGCGGATGGTGCTGCTCATGGGAGAAAGGACCACAGGAAGTGAAGCTGGGGAGAGTGGACAGTATATTTGAGGAGCATGACAGTAATGGGAGAGCCTACTGGATGTGAACTGAGAACTGTGCCACTAAGAACTCTTTGAGATCGCCAAAGTTGCTGCTTACAAAACTTGCCTGGCTGTGTATTCCCTGTGATCCCAGAATGTTTGTTTGTTTAATATCGGGTTTTTAAGTGTTTGTTTGAGGCTACATTAGGATTTTATATACCCAAGCATGTGAAATTGTGAAGTATAACTGCCACTTGCCCCCCTACACTGGCAAACCAGAACTTTCTGTTTGAGTTGATTACTTTAAAATTGCCTATCCTTATAAAGCTCTTTCCCTGTCACTTTAACCATGGCTGCCAATTCGTCCCCTCTAAGCTGTACATAGTGCTAATTACAGAATGCAAGTATTAATGCAGGGAGGGGGACAGAGCAGTAGTTTTAGAATTTGAGGCCAAGTCTGAAAACAGCTGCCTATTAATTATTGTTATTATTATTATTATTATTAAGATAAGGTCCACTAACTGAGTTGCCACTTCGCCATAAATTTTGACATGTTCTTCTGCCATATATGTGGCAGTCTGAACCTGATTTTTGATTTTGTAAGCTAACATCTGTTAATAAAAGTTTATAAAGTTTATTTTTGCCAAAGATATGCAATTGTTGCATTATATATGGTATTAAAGAATAAAAGAGTTTTTCTTTTACTGATTTAGTGTTTGTTGTTCACTATCCCACATGTGTCTGCTAAAGATCTCTTCATCTGGAAAGCATCTGCTGTGTACAAACATCTGATAGACGTCTATAAGATGTCAGTTTAAAAAAACATTCTAAATCATGAACATCTTAAAGACATCTTCTAAACGTCTATTTGACATCTGATAGGAAACGTCCTATAGGCGTATTGCAGATGAGCAAACACTCTAAAAATACATCTTGCAGATGTAAATGCATACGTCAAATAGACATCTCCATAATGTAAATGTGCTGTCAGGGTATATCATCAGTCAGTTAAGAGTGTAAAGCGGCTTTTTCCCAAACAAACAATAGACCTGAAGTCATTCATTTCCAATGGAGACTAGTACCGGAGTTCCGTTCATATGTGTATGTGGAATTTTCGAATCAGATGTAATCTTTGGTTAAATATTTCAATGCTTAAATGCATATTTCAACACTAAAACGTTATTCTTTAAACATTATTTCTATAAAATGAGCTGTTATTAATAATTATGTTCAAATTCACACATTCATTATTTATTTTACCATGGTAAATGGGCAGAAGGTAATGGCTGCTTCACGACCATTTCGAAAGTTCCATGTGACTGCCACTAGGGGGTAAATTGCGACAATTATGAACATATTTTTCCTGAGTAACCGATGAGCATCGCCATGACGGATTCTAACTTCCTTTTGGATGCTCTCGTGTTCTGGTCCATGCCAAAATGGGCATAAAAAGATTGACTGAATTAATTAAACTGAAACTTTTAAAATACAACTAAATATAAAAATGTGCGCAGTAAGCTATGTGTTAATTTGACTAGAATCACTAGAGACCGGAAATGTATCATCTTTCCGTTAAGAGGCGAATAAGGGCTGCATTCAGCCCCGTCAAAAACCTCCGTGAAGTTGGCACCCCATAAAAAGAAATAATCACCAAAACTATGCCATTCGTTTGTGCTGCGTTTGTGCTGATTTGTGCTGCAAAAACTAACGTTTGTGCTGGTTTGGTGTTTGAGATATTAAACATAATTTTTTTGACCATGTGACGTCACTCTCCACCCCATGTTGCCCAAATCGCTCCAAACCAGCGCAGTTCGTTTGTGCTCGATTTGTGCCCGTTTGTGCCGTTAAAACAAACACTGTATCTATTTTCCTTCCTTAGATATAACCAAAATATTTTCGGGAGCTGTGACGTCACTCTCCACCCCAGTTCGTCTAATGGCGCTTTTCCACTGCGTGGTACGACTCGACTCGGCTCGGTACGGCACGGCTCGGCTCGGTTTGCGTTTCCACTGCAGTTCAGTACCGCTTTAGAGTGGGCGGGATTATTCACATGTTGTTATAGTTGCGCCGCCTCTACTACCACGACTCCTAAAAAAAACTTTTTCATTCCGCGTCGCCCCA